TTTTTTTTTTTAGGTCATAAAAGGATTGCGGCGCTCAATGCTGTATTTTTTATTGCTGAGTGGACCAAATACCTTAAAAATTCCAGAAGCAAAAAAAAAATGTTAAAAACGCCAGACGAAAATATAAAAATAAAAATCAGTCGAAGAAAAGCAGGGTAAATTATTTTAAGACTGTCAAATATGGTATTTTTAAATAATACCGACTTTTTTCTGTTTCAAATAATTTAAATTAATATTTTAAACATAACTTTATCCAAACTATGAACTGCAGTTTGTAATTCTATTTTAGATTTTACTAACTAGGATTTCTAACACAACCGGATTTAAATAATGAATAAATAATTAATATTACAATAAAATATAATAAGAAAACAATCATTTTATTTTTTTTCAGGATACTCATTGGTACAATGACGAGGAGGTGGATAGTTATTTTACAATCATCTCACGATCGTATGATAACGTATTCGTTTTATCGTGTATATTTTACACGGCGTTAAGAACCCATGGCATATCAGTCGTGTCCAGATGGTTAAAAAGATTAAAAGCATACCATACCTTAATGTTAATTCCAGTAATTTTAGACAGACATTACATGCTGGTGTCGGTTTACCTGAAGACTGGTCGTATTGTCATCTACGACAGTCTAAAAGGAAATAGCATTAAGGTTATAGGGGAATGCATTAAATCATTCATGGAGTCCAGTGATATTACTCTGAAAGAAACGAAATGGGTGGTCGTGAACGGTGAGTGTCCCGTTCAAACAAATGATTTTGATTGTGGTCCGTGGGTTTGTGCAATGGGACTTTGCTTGGCCAAATCAATTAACTTCTGGTTTACTCAGGGTAACATGCAGGATCTTAGAAAAGATCAAGCGTCTTCCATTGAATCGGTGAGTTGTATTTTAGTTGCATGGTAAAATTTATTATAAATATATTTATAGTGTTAATATGAATAAATATTTATTTATTTATTTATTTTTTACACAGAATTCCTTAGTGGAAAAAGCTGCAACTGTTGCTACCAATCGTCTCCGTGTATCATGTTAAACCCACACGGTCGACACTGGCATATTCGCTTTATTTGATGAACCGTATTATATGAGTTAGTATTGTAAGTCATTAGTATAACGCGTATCTTTGTACTTTTTTTTTACTGTAATATTGTTTTACTATATATTTCTTTAATGCATAATTAATACAGATAATTGTTCATTTTTATAAAATTTAAAATTTAATAAAAATGTTTTGTTATAGGATATGTCAAACAATATTCGATCGGATAGGAGATGATTGCCACTACCTCTACCGCCCTACCATTTCCAGGTGTCGGTAACATGGACCTTGATGTAAGTTATTTTGTTTCTGATAAAGCTCAATACCTATACTAACTGCATTAATGACCGATATGAAAGTTTCTGGTGCCAAATTTTAAGTCCACTTATAATAAATAAATAATAAATAAATAAATAAATAGTTCGATTTTTCTTTACTCATAATTTACAGTTAACTCTTATATTTTTTTAGATTTTTAAATTTTCCTTTA